TCAAAGCTTGGGATTTAAAATTGCCCACAGAGGCTGAAACCAAAGACCAGCCATTAATACCAAACTTTCAAAGTATCAATGCATGGACAGAGTCTTCCACCCCTTACGTTTACATGACCGAACCTTGGAGAGCTAGCACTCAAGAATCAGATCAGGATAAGAGTTTTTTTTCAGACTCTCAGTCTGGAATAGAGCTTCAAGAGAGACCAACCAAAAACCCAAACCTAAAGGTTTACCCTAACATACCTATGTTAACACCCAGCTCTATTTCCAAGACACAAACATCTTCCAAACTCCATCCCCAGTTCCAGACTGGGACGAGAAAGATTTTTCTCTCTTTACTAAATCCTGCTAAGACCGAGATCTTCTCAGACGAAACTACTCCACAATCCTCTTTCCAGGCTCGTTCTATTTCCACTCTAGTTCCAGCACACCCTAGTGTTCTGTTACTGCCAGATCCATCTGTGGTTCATTTAACCAATACACCTGGACCACAGAAAAACACTCTACCGGACCCTCAAACCCCACTACGAGAGAATTCTTCACCAAGTCAGAACTTTGTCCAAGAAAATCTGTCTGATTTGCAAGAAACCCTGATTTTCCAAACTACTATGATGGAATCAAAGTCCAAGTCCCAGACTGAGTCAAGCCAGGGAGATGCCTTAGAATGGACCACAGGAGCCACTCAAACTTTTAACCATCCTCAGCTCACATCAGGGTATGACCTGTTTGCAACAAATAGGTTGGAGGTTAGGAAAGATGAGCATGAAGATAGGATGCAATTCATCAGTGAACCATATGCTTCTTCCTTAACCACTTCTCTTAATCCTTCTAAAATCTCTAAGGTAGTTTCACTTCGTCCAACCTTCAGATCAACACTTAAGTACCAGCCAAAAACTTTTCCTGCACTTTCTGCTCTTGCTTCTCCATCACCAATCTCAGTCCCTGCCCAAACGATCCCAGTCCAGTCTCCTCCTACTTATCCTAAACCACTGAATAACTCTTCCAACCATCTGTTAACAACTACCCTGTTTCCACTTGGGTCGAAATTCAATCCCCACTCATCCACTCATATGCCGTCCACTAATTTCTACCTTGACACTTCCTCAGCTCCATCAACAACCTCTTCTGTTCCCGCTGCACGTACTGACTCCTCACCTTCTCCTGTTTTAGCGAGAACTCCATTTCAAATGACATCATCATCTTTCTCAGTATCATCTCTCATCTCCTCCTCAAGGTTACCCACACCTCAACTAGAACCTTCTCCTGCTCCTCTTCGTTCCATCTACAACCCCCTCCCACCTTCTTCTTCCCCAGTCCCGACCAGAAAGCAAATTTATCAGCATTTGCTCATCCTGAAGCACCCCAGGCCTTTGAATCCTGTATTAAAACTCACTTCAACAACACCAAAGACTTCAGTTCACCAAAACCATGATCCCCATCCTAACCTTGAGACAACTTTCAGACTGAATCATGACCATGAGTTAAAACCCATCCACGTTAACACAGACACAAAACAAAAACAACCCTCAAAACCACCAGGGCCTCCAACCAAGGAAGGGAAGTATCCAGAAATGATTCCTCGGCACAGTTCCTGGGAGCTGGGGATGCTGCTGGGATGCTCAGCAGGACTAGGTATGGTGCTGGTGGTCGGTGTGCGTTACATGTACCGGCAGGCCTGTGGCAAACGTACTGGGGTGACACTGAACGACAGAGAAAGGGAGTACGAAAGAGGAGAAAGAGGGTTGATCCATGTCCAGGAGTGCGGAGACTTGGTACGAGTCCGTAGAATTAGAGATAACAGTTTTGTGCTTCTGGCTGAGTACGATATTCTGGCTGCTCCTGGAGACTGAAGAAGACTGAAGACTGAAGTCTTTAGATAGCATAAAAACAAATACACTATCAACTGATGTGTACCATCTTCTAACCCCTAGTAAAAAAGTGTGAATGTTTGCAGACTCCTGCACCTACACAGAAGTTCATGACAAGTCTTTTTGATGCAATAGGTTTAGAAAAACGTGGTCTTTCTCCTGAAGGAATTTCAAAGAAGACAAACACACTCAGCTTCTATAGACCCAGACACAAATGTTTTATTTAAAACATTTTGTACTGTAGTTGTGTGCGATTCTTGAATAAATTGTCATGGATTACTGATGCACTAAGTATATGTTTCATTAACGTTCAATATGTCCAAGTGTATTCAAAAACTCCAATCAATAACTGCAACGTTTTATTTTGAGGTCAAACTGCAGGTGCTGCAGTGATAAGAAAACTCTTTGTCAAACCTTTAGCACACAACCATAATCTTATAAAAAACACGAGTCTGTCCAGCTAACAAGACAATCTGGTCTCCTTTTCCATCCCTGTTTATCAATCTTCTTGTGCGCTGACATCAATCAATGCATCCTGCTTATCTTCTTCTGGCTAGATGCATTACTGCCACCTGCAGGCCAGAGTGTGTGCACCAGCGTTGATGGGTCCTAGAAATTAGGGTACTGGAAAAGGTGCCAATACATGTTTTACTTTGAAATTGTTATTTTGTAATTTTTTTTATTTTGAAATGAATTACTAATTCATTGAAATTAACACATTAAAGTTCCAGTCCTTTAAAAATGACTTCACCAGAGGGTTTGTATTATTTATGTTTATTCTTTTACAAGTTGTTTTTAAATAAACATGTAGAAAAGTAGCAGTATACAAATCGACCCCACCCATAATTTGATTAGTACAAATTCTTAGAAAGTAACAATGGCACAACAGTGGTATTGTAAACAGACAAAGACTGACCGTAAACTGACCACATCAATGCCACCACCTGTAACATGACCTAAGTCCAGTTGGCGCTACTGGGAAGAAATGTTAGTGATGGTAATTTCCACTTCATAACATTCTAAAGAACTAGTTATAGCATAGTTCTTGTTTAGAAATGTCTTTTTCACTTATATACAGCATAGTTCTTGTTTAGAAATGTCTTTCTTCAGCTTCCAATTGGCTGTAGGAAGACAGGATGATACAGGAGATACTGGAGATGCACAGACAAACATTTTAAAGTTGTTCTGGAGATGCACAGACAAACATTTTAAAGAATATAGTTGAGGATCTAAAACGGGGTGTGATGAGTGTTAAAACTAAATCATGGCACATATCTCAATATATCATCTGCATATAAATGTATAAGAAATGTGCAATTTAGCCAACGTCGAGTACAGCACTGAGCTCCATCCTGTTTTTACAGTAACATTCATCCCAAAAACCAGGGCATCGAGACCCTGCTGTTCAGATTGCATTCAAGAGCTTTTCAAGTTTTTACATTGGAATTTACATTTGTCGGCTGGTAGTAAATGTTAGGGGAAAAAATGGAATAAGTGGAATGCAGTGTTTTCTGTAACAGATGTATAACTTAGCTATACAAATAATTAAATAAAATCTTATTTTGAGGACGTCTGATTCATCTTCATGTACATAACTGTATGTAAATGTGGTTTTGGGCATGTAGACATGATTCCATTATGACCTTAGAGTATTTCATGACCTTTTTCTCATGGAGCCTGAACTAAAAATGTCTCTGAAAAGGTAGACATTACTATGTTCACTTTGTTCAAAACCAGTGGTAACTGGTAACTAGCAGTGAGTGTTTTACTATTATGTTTTGGCTCCATCACCAGACCCTCCCCCTTACCCAAACTCCACCTTATAAGTACGTCCAGTTCTGGCAGTGACAGCTCAAAGAGAAAGGTAGAAAAATGTAGATAGTAACAATAAATATCAACATAAAATATATGGTCCCAGTAACTCCATCCACCCTGTTCATGTTGGCAATTTCCTCCATATAAAAATAAACTTAATCTTTTTTTATAAAAAGTTTCTATGATCCATGTATCAGAGTTTGTTCCTCTTCGGGTAAGAAAATAAAGGCACCTCGGGAATCCGTCACCACTTTGAGGTCTTGGTTGCTTTAAGGCACTTGTCACAACGGTGTCCCTCCACCATATAACGGTACAGAACACAGTCCTATCCCTGATTTCCTGCTTGTCACACGGGCTCCATGGCCGACAGCTTCACCACCTGGAGAAGGAGAAAAAAGGTCAAAATGTATGAAGAATGAATAAAATCTAAATAATCAACAGAAGAAGAGATGGAGGGAGAGGAATCAGCTCCAAAACTCCAACTGGGGTTTGGTCAGTGAACGCTCCATCATCAGAGAGTCAGAACTAGAACCTCATTAAAATAATTACAATCTTTGAATTTGATGAGAATTAAATATTAATAAAAACAAAGACAAGACAAAAAAAAAACAATGATTGTGCAATTCTTTTGACAGTAGCATACATTTGATTGCAGTATGTGTGAATTACAATTTCCACCAAGACACCATCAATGCTTTAAAGTCAAACGAAAAAATAAAAAGTAAAACACTAATTTCATTTTTTTTATACATGAGAATATGACTGTAGAATTACTGTTATGGAGAATAAAAGGAAATGTGATTAAGTAACCATTTACACGATGTAATCAATCACCCCAGTTGTTATCAATAAAGGGAAGTTACAGATATTATTCAAATAAGGCCTTTAGTGTGAATAAATCCTTTAAACCGTTTTACAAATTGATTGAGAAGCAAATAGTTCATAACATAATTTTATAATCCTATGAGAAACAACTATTTTATAAAGAATTTGTGAGTTTGTGAGAGGCAGAGCTGCTGTTCAACTCTCAATGGAATTCAAAACGGTTCAAATAGGAGTTTGTTAACTGGACGGGCCAAGGCTGAAATATCAGAAAGTTCCCTTTAAAACCCAGCACCACTGAAAGTAATACAAACCCACTTGTACTTAATGAGTAGCTTAAATTGCTGCTGAGTTTGTGACAATGAGTGCATTTCCTTTAGACAGCAGAGGAACTCTTTAACTCACATTTTTAACAGCTAAAGAAATCCAGAAGCCTGTGTGGAAATGTTTGTTCAACAGTGTCAAAGACTCAGAGCAATTATTTGACTTTGTTGGTACGACGTCTTGTCCACAGGCAGCTGTTTCCCTGCAGGTTACTCCCACATCAGCTCACAAAAACCCTTCACAGCGACCGTCTTCCCGGAGGTTATGTCCCAAAAATGTCTTCAGTAACGTCAAGGTCAGACTGTTTTACACAATATTTTCCCACAGATTCAACAATCAAATAAACAAGGTACACTGACGTTTGTCTGACTGTGTCATTTATCAGATCACAAAAAGGCTCAATAGTCAACAAAGTGATAAGTAGCTAAAAGTTAGATAAAAAAAAAAGTGAATCTTATAACAATGTAACAGTTACTTAACAAAAAAATGTCACTAACAACAGGCAGTTACTAAGTTGCCTGGTACCTTTGTTGTAAAATGTTGTTTTTCTTAAATTGTTAACTATATAATATAGCTAACAAACGTCAACCAAAATAAAAAGCAGTAGTAATATAATGCTAAAGCTAGTTAGCAAAGTACAAGTTAGCAAAAAAAAATAAAATATATATTTTGTATATATATATTTTTTTTAATCTAAAAAATCTTAAGCTCATCTTGCCAAATTCCTCACTCCATCTGTAGTGTCCAGCTGTAGTTGTGTAGTTTTTGTGAGGTATAGTCTGACCTGGACAGAACTGAAACTGAGTTTAAAATCGGACATTTACTTCAATAAAACTCACCTGATGCAAAGACTTCTTTCAATACTAGGGCTCGGAATCTTTTTCAATTTTATCTTTTTCTGTTTCCTGTTTGCTTTTGGATTCCAGTTCCTAATGATTCCATTTTTTATTCCAGTTTGGTCAAAAAAAGGTCAAATATTAGAAAACATTAGAATATATATATTCTTTAACTATTAACTACACCATAACCAACCCAACATTTAACACATATGACCGACAGTCTTTAGAGAGAAGTGAACCAGCAGTGGCAGAGCTCAGCCTGACAACATGTACCTTCATCATAACCACATCAACTACACTTGATTCTTTTATTTACATGTGTGATTCTGGCTCTGATGGTACATGTGGTCATCTACACAGACAGACAAAGAAAACAACCACCCAACTACCATTTCATAAGGAATTCATTATGGTACTCACACGTATTTTAGTTTAGGCTTTAGCCCCCCAAAAAATCTTAAGCTCATTAATTTCCCTCAACTAAACACAACTACAATAAAAAAAAATCTATGGAAGCCTGTATGGACATTTTACATAGGTTTTACAAGTTTCGAGTAAAATAATTGGTTGTGAATGTGACCCTGGTCCTGACTGTGCCTCTGTGAACCCAGCTGCCTGTGGACTCTGATCGTGTTTGGACATTAACCTTCTACTCACTCGGCGCAGTACTGTTGGAATGCCACCCTACCTCAACAATAGACTAGACTGTGGGAGAGGAAACAAAAAGGAGGTCAAAGATAATACTACAGTACAGAACCAGCCGTCTCTGACGGGGAGCAGAAGAAGAAGAACAAAGGAAAGATCTTAGAGCCAGAACCGTAGAGACCTATGGAAGCTCAGCACCAGTCCTACCTTCTGCCGGTTGCTCATCCAGCTGCGGATGCTGGGCACCAGCACCGAGCCCAGCAGGATCTGGGATGGGTGGTAGATGAGCAGCGGTACTGATATCAGGGAGAGGTGTTCGTAGCCAGCGAACACGATTTTTAGCATGGGGATTCCTGTGGAGGCAGGAGTGGACACAGAGAGAACCGCTTGATGAGGAAACCATCAGTCAAAAACAAACAAGAAAATGGTCCGTGTGTGTATGTGTGTGTGTGTAAACACACCCAGAGTGAGAGACTTGTGTGTAGAACAGAAGATAATGGCCACGGTGTCTGCAGGGCTGAATCCTGAGTTTGACCTGGATTAACACATACACATATTGCAGTTCAGACTGTGACCAGCAGGAGGCTGCGAACCTGTCAACATCACGACCTCAGATCATGAAGAGAGAGCGCAGACTGACCTGGTGGACAAGATGAAGGTGAGCAACATGAAGCTGATCTGCAGACAGAAAACTGCAGAAGGGACAGGAAAGTTTTAAATGAAGCTAACGGTTAGCATATCTGCCATCACACCTTTTAAACTTATCTTTTCACATAATTTCACTTTAGTTTTCTCTATGAGCATTTTAAGTCAATTAGCCAATATGGTATTGGCTAATTTAGCATTTTCTGGACCATCAAATGCTTTAGGCTTACTTTTAGCTATTGCTGTGCTGTCCTGTTGTCTAAAGGTTAGCCAGTGCTGATCTAGTGTTTCTAGGTATTTCTTTACATATTTAGCTTTAAACTGTTGCTGTTTTCACAATATTTGATAAACATTTCCTTATTTCTGGGAAGCTAAACTCTAGCTGCTCCTGGGCTAACAAGTGTTCTGTTGTGCAGCACTGACTGATGAGGACGACCAGCAGCAGACTGGTGGGGTCCAGCTCGATGTTGGGGTTACTGAAGGTGTCACAGAAGGTGGTGTAGATGATCATGAGCAGGACGCAGCTGCTGACGGTGCTGAACGGAGGCTTCTTCCTCTCCAGGAAGTCCCTGAGGAAACGCCGACACACCTGCACCACAGTGTGTGTGTGTGTGTGAGTCACATTTATACAGGTCAACACTAAATCAAAAACACACAAACTGAGAAAAGCCTACCTGACCCAGGATCAGCGGCACAACCACGGTCATGAAGAGCTGAGAGAAGATGGAGGAGAAGGGCACAGAGGAGGAAGAACCCAGCTGGAGGAGAGGAGAGGAGAGGAAGCAGGGCACAAGAACGGAGGCTGAGGCAAACATTTGTACTTCTTATCTGATGTTCACTTTAAAAGCACTCACTCTCCTGCATAGAAGACGGCTGTGCTCTCAGCTTAAGTGTTGGACAGTCTTTCCCAGGTGAAAGTCAAAAGAGAAAACCAGTGATTTTAGCTCACGGAGACAGAGAGCTGTTAACCCACCGCTGCCTCCTGTGGTCTGTAAGTGGTACCAGCAGCTTCTCAGTCAATGTGAACTAAAACCACTGATTTTGTCAGTTTGTCACTTTGCTGCTGCCCGACACTTTTGATGACACCAAACATATAATATTTGTATATAGGAGACAGAGGCAACATAAAAAACAGGTTTTACTTACAAAAAACAGCAGCAGCACAGGAGTCACGACAATCCCCTGAAAAACAGACACAAACCACACACGTCTTGTTAAAAGTTCACATTAATTCATTCATAAAATCACAGGCTGAATGACACACAGTAAAGTCTGAGTCATTACTGCTGCAGCCAACTTTCAAAACTGCTCCAAAATGACCTAAATTATTCATGTTTAGTCCAAAAACATCAAAGGTCAGAGGTCTCCGGGGACATGGTGTTCAAACATACAGTATATCTGACAACATTTCCAAATGTCACAGGACTCTTAGGCTACACAAGCTTAATTCAGTGATTATGCAACATAAAAAAGTTTAAAAAAAAACAAAAAAACCCAGAATGATCATAGGTCTCACCAGGAAGCTTCCAAATGCTGAGTTAAAGATGGCTGCTGCCTGGAACACATACACAAAGATACAGTGACAAGACAGGCAGAAATGGTCATTACAACACATTTCCATTGAGTCACAAACATGCAAACACTAGGTGGCGATGTGGGTGACATAAGGTTATGTGAACATCAGTGTTAACAAACACATAATTAAACGAAATATTACACTCTTACCTCATTTCCTCCGACAGCTTTGGTGAGAATGACTGCAGAGGAAACTGGAGGAGGCATACAGCTGACCGTCTGTAACCTAGGCAACCAGGACAGGAAGCTGTCATTGTTTGGCTCTTTAAACAACACCACTCTTGTGGTTAACTAGTTATTAGTGACCTCATGTGGTGACTGCAGTGACCTATCAAATGGGAAGCTGTGAGTTTGTTAACTGTGTTTTCTCCTTCACCTCAGTGAAAATCAGGGATATTAGTTCGTAGAGACACGGAAGCAATTGGTCCACTGCTGCCTCCTGTGGTCAGTGTGTGACTCAGACGTAAAACTGAACTAACACATTTGAACTTAGTGATGGAGGCAGCAGTGGACATTATTTATTATGTCATATAAAAAGGATGCATTTTCAATGGAACTTAGTATGGGAGAGAGATGTAGAGAGAGAGAGAGAGCGAGAGAGAGAGAGAGCGAGAAAGAGAGCGAGAGACAGAGAGAGATTCGGTTATATGAGCAGTGAATACGAGACTCTCAGCACACACAGCCTTCAGGTACAGTGAGTATGAAAGAAGGTATTCACGCCACAACACACGCACCCTCTGAGCAGCCATTGGTCAATGGGTGTGAACTCCAGCACCCTGAGCAGCAGCCAGACGGCTACGGGGAAGAAGAGCAGTGTGAAGGACTGAACAAAGAGGTGGAGACGAACATGGAGCAGAGCGCTGGTCAGCTCCTGGACAGGGGATAAGAGCAGAGAGGGGGGGGGGGGGGGGGCTTTTTAACGTCCCCCCCCCGCGCGCACACCTTCTGTGGGTGGCTGTTTTTTCTCTCCCCTTT